CACTTTAAATTACGTGACTAAAGAAATTTGCATAAAAATATAAATTGATTTACGCGCGTTTTCTTATCAATATTTCAAGATTAGTCTCAAAAACCGATACTAGTAAACGATACTTATAGTAGTATCAGTGCGTTCCTCGCCCTGATAAAGTGAACGGCAAGATTCACGAAACGTTGGCATTAGCAATAGATAAAAACACGGCGATAACCCGCTAATCTTCTGGAATTAGTCTTAAAAATTGGAAATGTAATTTATTAACTTTATGAATTGTAGATAGCAATTTGTCTATGTAATACGATAATTTAAATGAATTAAATTTTTTATAAGCGCAGTAAGATTTCTTTTTCTTGTACGCAGAACTTTCATTCTTTTAGGTGGAAAAGCAAGTTGAAGTTTAAATTAATTATGTGAGCACTGAGACGGATTATTAGCAGTAGATTGGCAAAGGGTGTCGTCAGCGTAAATGGACATGTACCCGTAACCGGAATGAGTAAGTCGGATAGGCGAGAAAAATTGCTAACGATGACTTCACTTTGCTAAAAATGTCACTTAAATACGTAACAATTTAGATGGATCATGTAGTATAAATTTAGCATTAATTTCGTTTAATTTTTTCAAAATTATTGTAATATAACATTCACATCGGTAAAAAAATAAAAAAAAATTAAATCTTAAAAAAAGATCTGTACTTATAATTGTTCTATAAATTTTGCTAATATATTAGATAAGATAGAATAAAGTTTCATCTTTTGTGACACAAATAGTTCCATATTTTAATTACAGATTAACTGTGTGTGAGAAGGTTTGTTCAGATAAATACAAGAAGATTATTTTCATAAGATAATAGGAGCATCATGAAAAAATATAAATAAATAAAAATTACATATCCTAACTAAAAGATCAACATTTTACTTATCGCAGTTTCTTTCTATTTTTCCTGATTTTTTATTTGTCTAATTGTATAAGAAATAAACTCGCAAATTAAATAAATCGTAATTTTTTTGTTTAATGGAAAATTTTATAATATATTATATAAAGTTAGTCAAATAAAATTATTATTAATGTATTATATTTTTATGTATTAACCGTATTATACTTCTTAAAAGTCTTACACACACTTGCGCTTAATAATTTTTATATATAAATGTACAATAAATAAATCATTTAATTGTAGCGGAGATTACTTTGAAACTCTCAAGCCTTCATTTCTTCTTAGATTCATTCATTGCACTCGTATAACATTTCCAATATTAGTTGCACGCGATGCATACTTTAGTATCGTATATTACAACAGAAATTCATCAAAATGCAGTCGCGAAGATAATACAGAAAAGGAAAATGTAGAAGAAACGAAACTTTATGATCTGTTCAATATACATACATATATCTTGCAATTCTTGTATACCGCATATTTAACTCAAAAGTAATAAATATATCACGTGTAAATTAACGAAATGAAAATTTAACGCAAGATATGTTCGAATTTAAACGTGATTTAAAAAATTTATTATCCCTCGCGTGCAACAAAACAATATCCTATAATTCCCATTCTTTATAGCTTCAATTCATGAGTAAAATGAATAAATTGTGCGAAATATTTGCTTCGATAAAAATAGTCATAAAATTTAGTTATCGAGGATGTTAATTGATTGATGATTCAGTTAATTATTCGTAGGGAATAATTGCTTTGGCTTCTGCTCGTATTCCACGCGATCGTGTTTTGATGCGTAATGAGTGGTTGCTACGACACGCGCCGTTGCCTGCTGGTTCCCGAACAATACAGTGCGCGACGGCCTTGTATACGAGATCGCTATGCTATTAAAACAATACCAAGGCTAATCGACACACAGACACAGTTTCGTCACAACCAAAGATAAAAGATTATTTCTGCGGAGTAGTTTGTGCTGAACATTCAATTCATGTAGTTTTAATCAGTTTTGATAAAAGAATTGTTATTGTATATTTTGTACTTTGTTTTGTAGACTTGTTAGCATTTAAAATAATGATTAATTCAGTTTGATAAAAAGAAAATTTTTAAATAAACTGTTTATTATTTAAATATTAATTAACGATGATTGGAATATTAACTACTATGCATTATGTGTCAAACCAGTAACAAGGAACATCGTACATATTATCGTATACACTTTGAAATATATTTTTATTTTGGTATATGTGTACTCATTTTGATTAACCCTTACCGTACAAGGTCGGGTCACTAATAGTAACCGAGCGATTCCTGTTCGTACAAATTTCTTTGAATTTTTCGGTAATTATAAATTATACTACATTTTATTATTTTCCAAAATGAAGTTTCAATATTTATTCTAGAAGGTTGAAAGTATGTTAGTGAATTTTAAAATTTTTTTTAACCATTCTGAATAGGTGAAAAAAATGGACGGATTCTAGGTTTGGACCCATGTTTGGACGGATGAGGTACCAAATTGTACCTTGTATTGTAAGGGTTAAAATAAATGGAATTTAATATGCACACAGCTGTAAAAGTTATTTTATTATTTTTTTTTAAATATGATCTTTACTCATTAAAATCTTCATTTTCGAGTGCAAATAATTCAACCTTTTTAGACCAACATTACACATATTACATGTACCATTTTTTTCAAAGTATATATCCTCAATTATTATATATATAGCTTAAAAGGATTTATTCCATTTATTCACATAAAAGTTATGAATTTTTGACTGATAATACGTTTTTTTCAATATTCTTATTTCAATTTAAATCTGTAAGAAAATCAGTAAATTACAATCGGATTTCAATAATAGTATAAAACTCGTTATTAAAGCTTTGGTAAGTATATAGAATTTTGCAGATATTTATATAATCCGGAAAAATAAAAAAAAATTTATTTGTTTTCCTCAAGGACCCTCTATTTCTGACGGCCAAAGTTAAAATTCTGTTTTGTAGAAGGTCACATTATTATTATTATTATTAATTATATAATTATATTTATATATTATATAATTACATTTATTTTTTCCCATTAACTAAGGTATTTATATATTTTATTATTTATTGATCTAATTCAGAATAATTTGTTTGCTACAATCTTTCTATATATGTATATATTTTAGTAACTTAATGACTATTTGGTTACTGTATAATATTAAATATTTAATAGATCTCTACAATTTTATTGTGTTATCTATTTATATGTTTTAAGTGATTTAATGACTATTGAATTACTTTTTAATGTTAAATATTTAATAGATCTCAACGATCATAGGAAAATATTTTACAAGATGACGTATCGTATATTCGGCGCTTTTATGAATCTTATTTATTTAATTGGACATGACCCAGATTGTGTATTAAATGTATTTTGTTGAACAGCTTAAGATAGGATTTATTCATTATGTTAACGAATTTTATAATTTCTAATTTTTATATTACAATATTTATTTTTTGTCAACATTAAGAATGACCTGATACTGGTTGAAACGTATGTTTTATATTATTATTTATTTCCTTACGTAAGCCGAAATTTATATTAAATGATTTATTTTAGGCTCGTAGCCCTTCTTTGTTACATTATTATTATTAACTTAAATGGTTGATATCATTTAATTATTCTATTTAAGAATTAATATAAATGTATTATTTTAAAATGAAATTAAATTAAACCGTATTATGTATCAAGTATGATTAAATTCCAGTTGAACTTTTCAGCAGAAATACGACATCGTTCCAATATAATAATAAGTGCTTTAGGAATATTTGAAAAATATCTCTTTTTTCTCTTTTCATTCCGTTAGACTTTCTTTTACGTAGTTTTATTCAATAGAAGAAAATTTTCACTTTTAATATTTCTTGAAAATACTTTCTTAAAATTACATTAGTAAGTATCATGTTTTCATCGTCAGGAATCCGTACGTGATCTCGGCTTCGGGGTCGAAAAGTAAATTGAGAGTGCTTGCTGTTTGTTACTTGTTTCATCGCCCATTTCCGAGTAATTCGAGATCCCGAGATACCCCTATTGAACATGCAGATGCATCGCACGCGTGATAAAGAGAAATATAAATAAAAAGGCGATGAAATGGAGGACTATACGCTAAAGAAAATTGTGACTGAGAAAAATAGGTAAAGATAAAGATACGATAAACAAACGATCTATATAAATTTTTCTGTGAGAAATAAAAAGACATATGAATATGAATCTAAAACTATTTTATCAAAAATTGCTGTAGAAATATGGAAGTACTTAGATGTAAAAAAATTAATATGGAATTAATAAGATTGTAGATTTAGTCACAATAACTATAAATTTAATCACATTTTTAACAACAGCATTAAACATCTCAAATCGCATTTTTATTGCTTTACTGCTAAATCTCTCTAATCGCAATTCATATCTTTACATTAAAAATAATCATCAATCTAAATATAATATACATATATATGTATGTATGTATGTGCGCGCGCGCGCGCGCGCTTGTGTGTGTACATATATGTGTTTATTAATTATTTTGCGTGAGAGAAAAAATATTGTAGAACAACTGCAAACAGTTCAATAACACTTCTACAGTTGTTATCAAAATCACCGTTCGTTTCAAGAGCGAACACAAACGAGCGCGATTCCAACCCTCGTCGTGATTTTTCTGTTTCTCACTGGCGAATACAAGTGTTATTGTATAGCCCCTTTACGATCCTCCATGGGGCTATATTAATTGCTACGGAATCGTTGCTGTCGTAAACACGAGCTGATAAATCACTGCTGAAGCGTTAATCGATAACGATGATAGCGCGCTAACATGACAAGAAAATGTGATAATGCGAGTAAAATGGAACAATGCAGAAAACGTTTTCTATGATATTATACGGAAATTACTGAAAATTGTTTCTGTATCATATCTAGTTTGTCGCAATCAGAAACGCATTTTCTCTCCTCGGCTGTTCCAAATTGGCAAACGTAGCGCGAATGTAATTTCTGCTGTGAAGTTCTTCGTCTTTCGCTTTCGTGTAAAGTTGAAATATTTACCTTATCGAGACGAGTATCATGGCAAATATCAGGTACTTTCCAAGCAGCGGCACAACCAGCGAAGTCGGTGGGATGATCTCAACGACCAGTAGAAAGAACACGTGCAGACTAATGAGAATCGAGATGGAAAGCGTTACCTGAAATTGAAAGACATTTGTTAAGCAAGTTTCATTACATAGGGAATAAAGTGAAATATTAAAAATTTGTTTTATTTGAAATGATTGCGTTTATTGTAGTAAATAAAAGGAAAAACTTGCAAAATATCTAGAGCCTATATTTTGTTTCTTCCGGTAAATTACTTTGTACAATTATGATTTATGATTTTATGGATTTGTATAGTTTGTTACAAATCAAATAAATAAATTTTTTTATAATATGTAATATTATTTATTTTCCTATCTAATTTGATAATTAATTTCTCGGTTTAATGTTATAATAAGAGGATATTATATTAAGAGAATTAATTGTGATTATCTTATAATTCGTTATGTTTTTTTCAAGCATTAGAACGAATATAGAAATACAAAAATGAGAAGATTATTATATGCTATTTCTGTTATATTATTTTAAGAAAAAAAATGGGGTTCTCAAGAAATAGATAGTCGTAGTCTCTCTCTCTCTCTCTCTCTCTCTCTCTCTCTCTCTCTCTCTCCAACAAAGACACGTGTTGCCTTTTTTTCAAAATATATCCCTTGACAAGCAACAAATTTGAACCTATTCGAAGAGGCCAGGTAAAGAGCTGCGGATAGTCGAGTGGAAAATTCGTATTTATGATTCGCGCGTAAAGAATGTACGAAGCAACAGTCAGAAGGATAAACGGGTCGACCCCGTGAGGTGAAAGTTGCTCACTGACAGAATTTATATGTGTCCATGATCCATTCGTTTTAATAAAACTTGTAAACGAAGAGCATCAGGCACGTACAGCCACGTCTGGAATCAGTATTACCGTTGCCAAGTATGATGAAAATAAAAATGAAAAGGTACAATGGGATTAGCAGGAGTAAAATAAAGTAAAATGTTTTACCTACTGTTATAATACTATTGCAATACTAAATAATTCATCTAATAAAACTATAATATAACACAGCGATATTAAGAAATGATATTTTTCTCGATTAAGAAATTAAATAAAACAATTAAATAAAAAAATTATTGTAGTATATACTAAAATAAAAATTATCACATTTTAAGTTAAACTTATGTTTAATTCATATGATATACTTATTTTTGATCGGTACAGAAAATACCTATTAAAACCATATAAATATCATATATGTAATATCATAAATTAAACAGATAAATTTAACTATATATATTGCTATAATTAAAGATATACTGTTATATATTTGTATCAACATTCTTTTATATTTTATAATGCTAAATATGATCTTGTGTTCAATTATAATTACTATTAAAGAAATTATAACATGTTTAGTGTTTTCCTAAATAAAAAGTAGGGTTATTCATAATATGAATATTTCATGAGCAAATATTACATTAGATAATAAGATTAAATATAGCGTAATTAAATAAGAAACCTCAAAAATTTTAGATGAAGGATTTATTAGGCACGTTACAGAAGTAGAAGTTAACTGGGTTAACGATTATTTCAAAAAAAGGAAGAAAAAGTACTTCTAGTATGAAACGGTCTCCCCTTCGGGTTTTATTATACCTTTTCATGTTGGGCATTATATAGGTTGAAGTACAACTTGTATGAAGTTGAAAAGTCATATATACTATTCAAACTATAGTAATTTTTCTATATTAAACGAATTTTAAAAAAAAGCACAGTAATGAAAAAGAGAAATAAAAGAATTTCCTATTTATATGATAAATATCATAAAAAATATTTAATACAAAAGTTAATACGAGAATTTTAGTTAAGAATTTGTATGTTACATTTTTCAAATATCCTAAAATTATTATGTAGATATTATTAGTTATAATATCTATATGATATAATAGCTACTCCGAAGTACTTAGGTATGTAATGTAAAAACGTCTCTGATCAGTTAATTTTGTAATACTGTTAATATTCCAAAACTTCCAAAATCTGGAATTTAAAAGAAATTGAAAAATCGTTTTAAAAGATTTGAATTCAACTACGTTTGTTGCAAATCCGAGGGATTGAGCATGTTCCGTTATATTTTCGTCTCGAAAAACAAACAGAAAGTGAGATTCTTTACGCGAATTTGCTGAAACCGTGATCACGTAACTTTTTCAGAATAAAAATTTGATTGAATAAAATCCACGTGAGATTTCACGATGAAAAGTGAAATAAATCCAAAAATGTGCTGACATATTGTGTGATCGATCTTTTGGTTCTATCTAATATCTGGAAAATTCGCATATCACGATATAAAAAAATGACAATGTATATTTTAACGATTTAAATTAGAATATAAAAGTTACGATTGAACTTGGCTCAGTCATGGGTTTAATTAAAGTTTTTGTCTCTGCATCGGTATTTGCGAGGGAAAAAGTTTTAGAATGAAATCGGTTTAATATCATACGTTGTTCAATTCCGTCCCGCGATTTTTCATGAAACTTGAGATCATTTATCTGTCAATAATATTTGTTATAGAATCGTTTCGTACAAAATCCCGTGAGATAATTCCCGATAAATAATTTCTGACGAAAGGTATTTGCAAACGTGTATATGTGGTTATCAGCCTATATTTCCTTTTTTAATTGGATACACGTGACTTTTCAATAGCGCTTTGCGGCGTTTCGCAACGATTAATTTACAGTTCAGCCTGTCGTCACATGAAACCGTCCATCAAAACTGCATCAGTGGCCAAACAGTATTCATATCTCTCTTTCAAAAATTTTACAAATTGATATATTTCCTTTGGTCAGCATTTGCGATTTTTAATTACTATATTTATTTTTATTAAATAATATACATATAGAATGACACATTACTTTTTATCAAAATTTAAAGTAAATATATGACATCTATTTTATCGTCCGTATAATTAACAATTATGTTTATTACATGTTATATATAATAATTTGCAGTTACTTTTGGTATTTATAGATGTAAGAATATAAAGCAATTCACTTGTATATTTCTTTTTGACAAACATTTATGTTAACTCTTAATTTCTAATCAATAAAATATATTGTGATATACCAATGCAATCAACATACAGTTCAAAACTTAATTTCTAATCATTACTCTTATATTGGATGGTATTGACTTGAATATAAAACAGTTGTTTCTTTTCAGCTAGTTTTCCATTGATTATGTCAGAATTTGCCGCACTAGCTCAGTAATAAAAACCAGTTTACATTTTCCAGCGATCACGAATGTATAACACGCGATCATCGGTAGCTCTTATTGCGAATTGAACGCAACGCGAGCGAGCGAGGTGGCGAGCTTCATTTTTACTGCGGTTTCACCGTTGCAATGGCGTTTCATAGCGATTAATTTAAGGGATCGACCACTGGAGCGCGATAGCGTCTATCGGGTTGCTGCTCTGCCGTTCGCCCTGGCGGCTTTCATCGATGCATTCGGATCGATAGTGCACCCGGTTACTTTCCATCCGACCGCGCCTTTAATTATTGTCGTCCACTCTTTTTCTGGCAATCGCGTATCTTGGTGCTATTGTTTCTACCAAATGTTTGAGCAAACGTTTCCGAATCATTTTCGCATGATCCAATAATTATTATATATTGCGAAATTTACTTTGTTCCAAATTCTATTTAGTAAAATATTTTATCGGATTTACTTCTCGTCAATTTTACATTCTCGCTTTCAAGAGACTTTTTATCATATTATTCATAGTTCTAATTATTTGCCTCAGAAGTCTCAAAAACAATTTTTAATCTTCTAAATTTTATACATACGTAAAATTATTACAATAATACAAGTAAATTTGTATAGAAAATAAGCTAAGAGAATACTCAAAATATTCGGATGTAATTCTGATGTATGGTCTGGTAAAGGAATAATTTAGATGTTCTGTGAGCTTGTTGTTTTAAGCCATCGTAACAGAGATGTGAACTAATACTGTCTTGTAGCTTGTGTCTTGTCACAGCACTGTCTGTCCGCTATGGTATGTACATGGCAGTTAAGCAAGATCCGCGGATATACGTTGACGCACGGTTAACGCGATATGTCGTGTTCGATCAGCTTAGCTGATCTTGGTCTTGTATAATGTGCGTGTGATACCGGAAGTATCACTTCTACGTACCGCCCATGATCAAAAATCGCTCATAATTCTTTTCGGAAAATAATGCCATTTATGTTGGTAAAATAAAATTTAATGAAATAAGTATTTCATTCGAATTTTGTTATTTATCTGTGATTATTGTTTCACCGTTAATATACCTAATTAAATTAAAGGATAAAGATATTATTATTACTGTTATTATTATTATTATTATTAATGTTATTTATAGTTATTATAACAAGAAACTCCGTGATTGATAATTTTGAAATAAAGTTTTTTCGAAAATTACTTCGTTATCTAAAGTAATTCTCGACTAATTCCTCGATTCTGAATTTTGTTATGAAGATCTTATTTCATAAACCACGTGGAGAAGCAAAAGTCAGAAACGTTTGGTACTTGAAGAAAAAGCATAGCTTCTTTTGCGACTCCAAATAGAAACTCGTTAGCTTACTTTCGGCTGATTGCTGTTGGCTTACGTGTTCTCGAGCGGTTGTTTGCGTGATTAACGTGGGTGCAACGTTGGCCCGCAACGAAATTGGCTCATCTATGAGCGCAAACCATCGAATCACTTTGAACGTGTATGGGGACACGACGGAATGTATAAGGCAAATATGATTATATTGTACATGGGACTCTCTCTCTCCCCCCCTCTATGTGATATAATAATATCCCGCGGTATCCGTCATCCATTTTCCCTACCCGTTACATTCGCCTCGTATCACATCAGTCAAATGTGATAATAACCTTCGAGTAACATCTTCATGCGGCATCCGAGATTGCGCGCATCGATCCGCGTAGGTGAATCCATGAACTTCTTGTTAATCTGTCTCTTGTCGCAGTTATGTCAAGACATAACCGAAGCTTTATATAAAACGATCACGAATAAACAGATGAAATAGAAACATTTTGAGAGTACTAGTTTTTATAAATACATAATTAAGAAATTTAAAAATAATTGT